TGGGCAATCTACTTCCATAGTGATACTCTCTGGGAAACCCAAGGAGGGGTCGCTATGAGTCGGGTCCGACTAGACGGCACATAACAACAACAACATTTGTTGAAAGTGTGAGTGAGTGAGTGAGTGAATGAATGTAGTCCTCACTTACTAAGTTTCATCCATGACCAAGTCTTATTCATCTTTGGGCACTGGGCTCCCACTCAGCACAGTATTTGACAGAATGACATTTAGATGGCCTTTGCAAACATTTGTTGTTAAATGCTAACACGTCCAATAAACTGCATGGATCTATATAAATAACTCAAGCTCTTCAACTGACTTTTGGGCTTTGGGGACCAGCCTATTAGAAGTTACATGATGCTTGCGGCTAAGAACACGTGGTTTTTTACTTTCCCAACCTCAGGAAACACTGTTTGGATGTGCTAATAGTCCCAGAGGAGGAGAGCAGCCGCAATAAGCAAAATATTAGGTTGAAAACAGAAGTACAAGTATCAACCCAGGCACCGTCTATAAATTCGCTGAGGGAAACTGGAAATGAGTAACTTGCATTTAGTACCCAATATAATTTTGATTCTTTGCCTTCAGCTTGTGAGCAAAATCTTCTGTGTTCTCCGTGGCGTGCTTGCATAAAAACTTGTCAGGACGAGATTTGCTGCTGGTGGGCACCTTGGAGATAAGGAAGAGACTATTCCCCGGGTGTTTTCTAAAATCCCATATAAAAACTAGCTTTTCTGTTTTCAAACAGAATGTCATTTTTATAATGCACCCATCAAAGAATTGTAAATGATATTTTCTATTTATTATTTGTAGGAAAGGAACGCAAAGTCTCCTATCTAGAGTGAGAACACGAGAATAAGCGTGCATCCCAGTACCCACTTTATAGTTAAAATAAGCCTTTGAAACTCGTCCTGCTTTTGCTTAAGAGCGACTCAAACATAAGGCAAAGGCTTGGACCGCTTCTCTTTTAAGGGTGGGGTCACCGACGGTGGTCACGGCAGCGCGTTTCTCGTCTCTGGGAATGAAGGATTGGGAAAGGCCCATGGAGGCGCTGTGCGAAACCAGCAAACAAAACCGGGGGCGGGGCATGGTGCTGTAAACAGCAACCAACAGCTTCGCAAGGCGGCAGAGGCGAGTTGGGTGTCTCATTTCGAGTTGGGGCGGCCTCTCAGTCAGGGGAGGGTGGTCGCGCAGCCAACCGGACAAAGCCCAATGAGGGACGAGGAGGGAGAGTTCACGGCGGGACAGGCAAGCGCTCGTTTCTCCTCTGACGGGGACGGTAGCGGGAAGAGCGAGACGTGCCAGTGTTTAGTGGGCGTGAGAGGTTAGGTCGCGGCAACGGTAACCGAGAAGACCAAGCACCAA